AGTATGCAATGAGTGTTGCAGAGTGGATTATATTTGGGAGTATTTTTTTGCTGTGTTCTAATGACTTTCTCCTGGTCCAAGTATAGGTTTCACATAAACACAAATCCTGAAAGTGTCCATCACGTTCAGCTGAGCATATAAGGAACTGCTCTTTGTAACTGGCCAGGGGTTCTGTTTCAAGTTTGGAGACCTGCAAGGGCTTCTTTTTGTTCACTCCATCCATCCATCCATCCATCCATCCATCCATCCATCCATCCATCCATCCATCCATTCTTCCGTCCATCTATCCATTGAGCCATCGATCCATCGATCTGTCCATCCATCCATCCATCCAACAAGAACTCAAGGCTGAGCTTATACAGTAAGGTATAATTTCTGTTCACATGTAGTTTATATTTTAACAGTTTTTCCTTTCTTTCTCATAAATTGAGTCAGAATCAACTCACAGATGACCTTCCATTGGATTTCCAAGGCTCTACAAAATTTCACAGTAGGAAATTGTGCAATTTTATCCCTTGGAGCCTCTAATAGATGAAACAGTAAGATTATAGTAACTATTATTGTTGGCTGTACATCCATGAGCCAGTCACTGTTCTAGGTACTTTTCATGCATTACCTTTCAGTGTCATTTTCACTTGCAGTTTATCCTACAAGTTTGTAATGCTCCTTATTTTAGAGTCGAAGTAAAAGGTCACAGAGTTAGTGACTGGTTGGGCTGAGGTTAAGTCCAGGTGCACTGGACTGCTTTTCAACTTCTCAACATGGAGTAGGTTGGTTGGGTCTGCTGAGCTGTGAGATCGTGGCCAGCCATGGGCCCTGTCTGAGAGTGTTTAACTTTTCATCCTCTGCAATTCTATCTCCTACCAGGGACCTTTCCTGTTTAGGGAGCAAGCCCTGAAGTTCTCTGACTAGCACTGCCCTACTGCTGAGGCTGTCAGGTGGACTGTTTGGGGCAGGTGAAAGGGGCTGTGGCTAAGTATAATGGGCCCTGGGTTCCCATTAGGGCTTCGCTTTTTCTCCCCTGTCTCCTAACCAGCCATGAGTGTCTTGTGGTCAGAGGAGGGTCAGAAAAGAAGAAGGTGTATGCAGCCAGGTAATGTCACCTGTTGTTCTGTAGCTACCTGTGCACACGTGTGATGCTCTGGTCGGGTAAGTGAGTGAAAATGAAGACCACTCAAAGGCATCAGATGATAGTCCTTTGTTTGGAAGTCTCTTTCAATCTTAGCTGGCCAATTGTTTGTTGGTCTGCCTCTTACTGTCTCCACGAAGAGAAAGGCTAAGGGGCACTGAGGTAGGGAATGGCTAGGATCCTGCACTGAACAGGCTCAGGAGACTAAGCCATTGACATTAATTCAAGGTGTCTCTCCAGGCTGTGCCCCACGCTCCTCTCCCCAGCTCACCTGACATCACCCTTTACGCTTGTCTGGGATTTATAAGAGATTATAACAGCTGTGATCTGAGTGAGCTCTGCTAGAGGTTTAGGTCCTTGGAGTCAGGAGGGTTAGCTGGGACCTCTCTGTCACTCCTGCTTCCTTTAACACTTCTGTGCTCTGCGACCGACCAGTGTGAGCCTGGTGAACTGGAAAAGGAGTTAGCTCCGACTTGAGCCACTGAACTTCTGCGTCAGTGCCTCTGTCCAGGGTTCCCCGCAACCTGAAGCTGTTTGCCTCTCTCTCACAGATATCCCCCTGCTCCCTGGCTCCCCACGCCGCCTGAGCCCTCGAGCAGGAGCCAGAGGAGGCCTGGGGCCCAAGCATGGACAACAATACCTCAAGATGCATGGTCCCCAAGCCTCAGGTCAGCCCTCCAGTGCTGAGAGCTCCCACAGCAGCTCCGTGAGTACCTGAGTACCGGGGTCACAGGGTGAAGGAGTTACGGTGGTGAGGGGCTTGTGTGTATGTAAGTGCTAGAGCCCTGGTTTCCTGTTAGGGCTTCCTCTTTCTCTCCTCTCTCCCCAGGCTAAGCATGAGGGTCTCCCTGTCAGAAAGGAGGACGTGTGAGTGGCCAGGTGTTCCTACCTGCTGGTCTTTAGACCCCCCTGGCTACCTGCTCACAGGTGTGAAAAGCCAGTATCTCCTGCTGTGGTGGCTCCAGCTCTCTCCCCTGTGCCTCTGACTTCACCTGGTTACCCAGGTGACCTCTCAGGTGGCTGCAGGCAGCTGGGTATCAGAGTAATAAACAGGGAGACACCCAGAGGGAGAGACAGGCCCTTCCCCTGCTCCGCCTCAGCCGGCCAGCCTTTTGCTTCCTTCTCCTCTCCTTGCACCCACCCCTTCTCTGGAGTGGAAGTAGAAGGAGGCAATTCTCCCTGCAGTCTAGTTTGGCAGGGTCCTCACCCTTGACTGGAGAGGAGGAAGAGGGGGATGTGGGGCTGTGAAGGGCTCAGTGTATAGTGAATTCCTGTGGGGCGGGAGGGTGGGGGTGGGCAAGGTGACTAGGATTTGACTTCTGCTCCAATGGACCCAGACAACCTGCCAGTGAGTATTGTCTGTATCTATGTGAAGAGTACAGGCTCCCCTGCAGCTGTGCATCTGGAGGAGTGTGTGCCAAGAGTGCACATGGGCACATTCACATGGACAGAGGTGCTGGTGCAGAGAGACACGAGTGGCTGTGCCTGTGTGTACATTTGTAGGTGCTTGTGTGTATGCCTGCATATTGTGTGTGCAGAGATGGATTGTGTGGGTGTCCAGGGCTGACTGCTGTGCACAGTCTGTGTACGTGAGAATATTGTGTGCATTGGTGCTGGGCTATTGTTGGAGGGGTAGAAAGCTGTGTGGGCTTCGTGTGGCTCATGAACTTAGGCCACTTTGTCTCAGGGGCTTTTCCCCCTAGACTGTCCTGGGCTGAGACATAGGGTCAGTGTCTTCTCTCCTCTCTCTCACTCACCAGACCTTCTCACTCCTGTCCTGTTCTCTCTGGCCAGGTCATCAACAACTACCTGGATGCCAATGATCCAGTGTCATCAGAAGCCCGTCCAAGTCGTATGCACTTCTATGACAGCCAGAGGAAGGTCGACTATGTGCTTGCCTACCACTTCCGGAAGCGTGGGGCACACCCCAGCCAGGGCTCTCCTGGACACTCTCTGGCTATCGTCTCCAATGGAGAGACGGGCAAGGAACCCCATGCTGGTGACATTGAGCTGGGGCCGCTCGACGCCCTGGAGGAGGAGAGGAAGGAACAACGTGAGGAGTTTGAGCACAACCTCATGGAGGCTGGGTTGGAGATTGAGAAGGATGTTGAGGTGAGGTCAGAGGGGGACAAGACCAGCAGGGATGGTAGGGCACCACAGAGCTGCACTCCTGGAGATTGGTGCCATCCTGAAGTGAGCCTGGGCTTTGTTCTGAAGGGACATTATTTTCTGATGAGGAAAGTAATTCTTTTTCTCATAGACCAGGGGAAGAGTCTTGGCATTACTGGTGTCTTTGTCTAGAGGATTATGGATAGTGGGGCTGGGCAATGGGGTGCAAGTCTGTTCTTTGAGATTTGGCTATTCAGAAGTTGAAGATAAGACTTTTCTTCCTGACTTTCTCAGTCCTTGTCCTGTGACCCTCTCCATAATGGTTTTCTTAGAGGTAAAGACCCAGTTTGGATAAGAATTCTTTGTCAGGGAATTAAATTCACTGAGGAATGTATTTGCCTGGGGTTCCTTGTGGAATTGATTGCTTGGGTGCTGAACTGAGGCTTACATTAAACACATTTTATCAACTTGTGAGGTACATATACCTTCAATCCTATTCAGTAATCAGGCTAAGGAGAGATCTGGAAATCCATTCATCTAGATGTCTGTTCATCCATCTATCTGTCCATCCATCCATCCATCCATCCATCCATCCATCCATCCATCCCTCCATCCATCCCTCCATCCCTCCCTCCCTCCCTCTACCCCATAGAGATAAATTGAAAATTACCTGACCCCCACCATCTCCTCCAAACTCATCTTCTGTCCTTACCACCCTCCTATATCCAACTTGAGCACATTGACCTTAACTTACCTCATATGTGGGTCATTGTCACCCTGTGGCCTTTGCACTAATTGTCTCTCTGCCACAGGCATTCTTCAGAATTTTGCAGGCTTACTCCCTCATTTAGGCCTCTGCTTGAATGTTACCTCCTTCCAGATACCTTTCATGACCATCTAGCTACAATGCTCTATGACTGTATGTTGGCTTTCTCTTACTTGGTCACATTTCACATTGTTACCTGAAATACTTTGATTTATTGTTTAAGTGTGTGTGTTCCACTATATCCATGAAGGTGGAGATCTTGTTTGCTTCTTTGCACTATGCCTAGCACTTAGGGCAGAGTCTGGCATATAGTAGGTACTTAATAAGTGCTAATTGCATTAATAAGTTATCTCTATGAATCTCAGGTTTCTCATCCGCAAAATAATAGATTCTTGTTGGGTTATAATGACAGGGTATGCAAAATATTTAGCACCATGTATATAGTATATATAAAGTATTTAGTAGGTGCTCAATATATACTTATTATGATTTTAAAAAAGTGTTATGCTGAAGGTTAGAGTGTTATTCTCCTTAGGGATTTGCTTTGTAAAATTTAAATTAATACTTTCCCCACCCTGGAAGGGACCTCAAAGGTTATACATTCATCTCTTTGTCCCAGGCAGTATGGTGAGTGGCTTGGCTCAGAGCCTGTTTGTATTTTTCTAGATACTTTAAGGCAAGAGAAGCTCCTCTGGCTACTATTTCCACTGAAGTGGGAGCGTTTACTCCATTGTCCCTAATGGATGGGCAGTTACAGTTACCAGTTTATCTAATCACTCCTTTTATAATTGGCACTCAGGGTGTATCTACCTCTGTGGAACCCCAAACATGGTTGGCAAGTGATTTGGTATCTTCTCAGGGACTGGCATTCCGTATGCTTCTCTACTTCCTCCAGCCACAGTGGTGCTAACACTGGCTGGAGGTTCCGGTTTAATCTCCTGTGAGGGTATCTGGGGGCATGGTAGAGCCTGAATAACTCTTATCTGTATCAGGATACTTGCCCTCTGGCCTTAAGTACCCTGGATCTGGCACCTCACAGAGGAGTGGAAGAGAAGGGGACACTACTTGTCTGAACCTGGAAGCAGCTGGGAAAGCAGATGTGGTGGGTCCACCTGCTCAGCATCCCCTGGCCTCCTGGATTGAGCTACTTTTTAGATATTGATCTTACTTTGATATAAATAGAGAGGAAAGATCTCTCAATCAGAACCCATTCACTTAGCCTTACTGATCAAAAGAACTTTTTTTGTGTTCACGAAATTCTGATTGAATATCTTACAATTATTTTCCAACCTTGGTTAATATCTGGATATACTTTTGAAAGTATTATCATTGGTGCATGCATGCTTTCTATTTGGTGTTCTTTCTTCATTTTGGAAACTTTATGTGCAGGTTTTCATGTCTTAAAATGGGCCATGTTCCTATTTTAATACTATTCAGTGTTTTATTAATGACTAGACAATAGTTAAGAACCCTCTATAGTGCAGAAGGAAAGCATTTGTCTATTAAACAAAAGGTCAGAACCTCCTAGGGACTGTGCGTGTAGGAGAAGGAGTTAAACTGAAAAAACACTTTACTGCCATCATGCACTTACTGCAGAGGGTCAAGGACTGCAGCCTTCAATATGG